GGGCATAGGCAAATCCAAAGACCAAGTTGCGGTCGACCCGAACTGCTGGCAGCCCAAGATTATCGACAAAGTTCTGGAGGATATGGACAGCTGCAACAACCACGTGGACACGCGGTTTCGGTACGCCGGCGTCTACGTGGACTGGGGCCGGGAAAAGGCCCTGTACCAAGATGTCCAAAAGAAAAAAGAGGTTGCTAGAGGTGAAGGGCGCGGGGAGGGCCAGGCGCGCAGCTCCAGGTACAACGACAACTGGACCGGGAAGCGCCCCAGGCGCTGACCAGCCTGCAACCGGCCCCCCCTGTCAGGCGCAGCGCGCCGCGGTCGACTTCTTCCTCCCCCTCCGACTTACGGCAAGGTCCTTGTCCAACCCACCGTTGGCCACGCCCGCCACCTGTTCCCCCTTCCCCCTCCCTCACCACCTGGCTTGGGGCCGTGTGTCCTCCTGATCCCCCCACCTGTTCCGCCGCGGCCTTGGCTGGAAGGCTGGTCCAGGAGCCTGGCAGCCCACGGGCGCCCCCGTCACGTGCACGGCGCAGGCGCGCGCAGCCTGACGGACGCAGTAGCGTGCACTAGCGGCGTTTGCCTACTGGTCCACCTGCTCCCCACCCCCCCTCATGGCTTTAACGCGCATTGGGACCGCGTGTCCCGCCTGAACCCACTGGGAGCCCAGCCCCTCCCACGTGAGCACCGATGGCGCGGGCTGGCACGTCGACGGCTGGCTGCGAACGCCGGCCCTTCTCCTTCCTGTTCGCTTCTTCCCCCCCCACTCGCTTCCCCCCCTCCCATGGCAGCAGCGCCCGGCACTGCGCGGCTTCGGCCCGGTGCTAGGCGCTGCACCTTGCCGCCTCGGCGGCCCCGCTCGCCATGGCGCTGCGCGGCTCAGGCCCGGCCCTTGGCATTGCGGACGTCAGCGCATCGTGCGTGGCTGCTGCCCATCTTCATGCGCTGTCGATGCAGGGCAGGTTCCCCCCCTGCAGCTCACCGAGTTCCCATCGGTCGTGGGCGGCCCCTTCGTTTGGAGGCCGCACCTCAAGCTACGCTGCTACCCGGTCGTGGATTGGACTACCACCCCGGGCCTCCTCCGCATCATCCCGTTGCACAACGTTGCTCATCGCCTCCGCGGTGCTCTTCTTCCTCCTGTGCGTCGACCTGGTCAAGCGGCGCGTCCCCCCCTGCAGTGCTTGAGGCTGGTGTTCGCGAAGTGCCGTTGAAGGCAACACCATTTCCTTCGCCTTCCGGGTCTTCGCCCTCGGTCCCTGTCCACGGCGTACCTTTTCCTGCACTTCCACTTCCGCGCCGCCTGTTCCCCGGGCCCCGCTCGCTCCGGCCGCCTGAGGCCCCGCCATCCTGTGCCCTGTCTCCCTAATCAAAGCTGCGCGTAGCCCGCCTAGCTTTTAGCGGAAGAGGTTCGCTCTCGCCCCGCAGATCAAAAGTGTTTTTTTGGCTGCGGCTCCAAAGGCCAGGGCGGGGCTGCCGGTCGAGGCCGCGCGCGGCGCACGTAAGCCCAAGTCGTTGGCGTGGCCGCGGGGCGGGCCGTAGCGCGCCGAGCGCGCCGCTTTCTTGGCCGCCCACGGAGGCAAGTGGTACTTCATGTGCACCTGGAGTCCGCCACCAGCTCTCCCAGGGAGTAGTGGCCTCCTCGAGCGCCTTCTCGGCCTTCTCGGTCGCCTGCTTGGCCTTCTGAAGCTTCCCCTCCGTCTTCTCCAAGGAAGCCTGCGTCTCGCGCAGCTCCGCCCGCGCGTCCTTGAAGGCGGTCGCCCTCTGCGTGAGCTGCTGCTTGCAGTAGTTTGCAGCCGCCTCTGCCGCGGCGGCTTTCTGTTGGGCGGTGTGCATTTTCCTGTAGCGCTGGTTAGAGCGCCGCGACCGCGCGCCCAGAAAGCTCCCAAGGTCGCGCAACTTGTCCACCAAGGGTTTGCGAGCTGCGGCGTGAGCCTCCCTCACCGGCTTGGCCACAACTGGTTTGTTGCCGAGGTCATGATCTCTCTTCGCGGCCCTGCGTACCGTGTTGCTGTGCGTTCTCGTAAGCGGGCGTCCGCTTCTTTGGGTTCCCCATGGTGTGACGAAGCACGGAGCGCGGAACCAATCAAACCTTGAGCCAAAGCGGTTACGGATGGTCGAAGCCCGCTCGTGCCACATCCGCTGGGGGGAGGCTCTGTCATTCGGTCGTCGTCGTCGTCAGAGGAGGAGGAGGAGGAGGAGGAGGAGGGGGAGCATGAGGATGCTGATGATGATGAGGAGGTGGAGGAGGGGGAGGAGGAGGAGGATGAGGAGGAGGAAAGGAGGAGGAGGAGGACAGGAGGAGATGGATGAGGGAGGAGGAGGAGGGGAGCAAGGGTAGGAGGCGAAGAGGAGACGGTAGAAGGAGGAGGAGGAGGAGGAGGAGGAGCATGAAGAGGAGCAGGAGGAGGAGGAGCAGGAGGAGGAGGAGGAGCAGGAGGAGGAGGAGGAGCAGGAGGAGGAGCAGGAGGCGGAGGAGGAGGAGGGGGGAGGAGGACGAGAGACGAGGAGGAAGCCCGCTCGTGCCACATCCGCTGGGGGGCTTTGTTATTCGGTCGGAGGGTTAGCAAACACAGTTAAACACATGTTTTTCAGGTCAGAGGGTCAGCCAACACTGTAACACAAACACATTGTCCAGGTGTTTCACGTGTTTGCGCATCTATCTACCTGGGCGCGCATCTATCCACATGGGCACGCATAGATCCCCCCAAACCTGAAAAACCTGAAAAACCTGTGTGTTTACTGTGTTTGCTGACCCTCTGACTTGAAAACCTGTTTTTTACAACAGATTCTCTACCTTTGGCTTGACAAGAGGCGCCACGAGCGCAATCGAAAGGACGAACTGAATTGATCAGGCACTCCTCCTCCTCCTCCTCCTCCTCCTCCTCCTGCTCCTCGTCATCTGTCTTGCTCCTCCTTCTCCCCCTCCCCCTCCCTCCTCCTCCCCATCTTCCTCCTCCTCTTCATCCTCATCTTCCTCCTCTTCCTCCTCCTCTTCCTCCTCTTCTTTCTCCCTCGACGCCAAGTTGGAAAACGCTGAAACCGTCCAGGCGCAAAAAACACCCAAATCGCCCAGGCCTACATCGAATCTGCTTCGGGAGGAGGAGGAGGAACAGCAGGAGGGAGGAGGAGGAGGAGGAGGAGGAGGAGGAGGAGGAAGAGGAGGAGGAGGAGGAGGAGGAGGAGTGGGGGGGAGGGAGGGGAGAGGGAGGAGGCAAGCTAGGTGCGAACGCGCCATCTCTGACGTTCTACGCCAGCCCTCCCACCCCTTTCCCATGGCGCAGATCTCCTCCTCTATTCGCATAGTCGGATGTCGCAGCAGGGCATAGCATCACATGGCATAGCATGGTGTTGAAGATCAACGCGTAGCCTGACATAGCATGGCGTGGCGACGTCCCAAAATGAAGGGGGGCTTCTGCGGTTCAAAAAATCAACGACCGGCACCGAATGTGTAATCACTTCCGACAGTTGCTTCGGGGGGGTATTTTCTTAGATTTTGGTCCTGTTTGGCAGGACCGAAAAGCATGCCGTGGCATGGCGCTGGAAATAATGACGCCAACGCTGCAGCGGGAGCACGATTCGGAACGAGCTGAAGCGCGGAAATGAGGCCAGCGCTGCAGCGGGAGCACGATTGGGAGGACGCGTAGCCTAATTTAGCATGGCGTGGCGACGCCCCAAAGTGGGGGGGGCTTCTGAGACCGCAAAAATCAACGAATCGGCACCGAATGTGTAATCACATCCGATGGTTGCTTCGGGGGGGCATTTTTTTAGATCTTAAAGCTTATGTGGCAGGACCGAAAACCACGCCGTGGCATGGCGCCGGAAATGATGACGCCACCGCTGCAGCGATGAGGCCGCGTCGGATGTTGTTTTAGCTCGCCAAAGCCGTTCTGAATTCTGGGCGGCCAACTTTGTGGCTGATAAGCTGGCGGAGGAAACGGCCAAGGAAGCCCCACTCCCTGGCTGGGCTATCGCTGAAATTATTCGTGTTGATTCGCTCAGCAGGAGAGTCTAGGAGCACATGCTTACCATCTCACACCACATTGCCATGAATTCTGTGCAGACTTATGGCGCTAGCAGGGCCGAGGATAGGATGCGTGAGGGCAAGAGAAAGAAACTTGCCAAGCGAGAGGCCCTCGCTGAGATCGCGTCGTCCACCTCGCATCGTCTCATTGAGCTTCCTGGCAACAGGACTTTGAAGTGCTCCAAATACCTCACGTCCCCGAAGGGGACAACGGAGTGCCGGCTCCGCTCCGAATGCCCTGGGCTCCCTGCTCGTAGTCACCCTTCCCACCGTCGCCTCCAGAGATTTCGAGGCATTTTCTGGTGCCATAATAACGAAACTTATACTACCACGACCTTTAACAAACTCTCCAATGTCTCAAGATGATATCAGAGCATGGGGGGGGAAGTTCTCAAGGCGCTGAAAGCTGGGAGGCTCCCGAGAGACATCGAGGCCTGGCCCGAGCCTGAACCCCAGATAGAGCTCCCACCCCTAGCAGTGTTTCTCTAGTGTTGGGGAGGGGGCCCTGCCGCGGCTCACTGGCTGGGTGGATCGCAGCCCAGTCTGTGAGTGACAAAATCTGATGTGCCCCCTCCAACTTTTACCACAGGGACTCCGCAATGTGGACAGCGCCCTCTCGTTAGGCAAGAGGCAAGAGGCAAGAGGACAAACGCCTGGACGACCTCCCTGCCCTCAGGACCGAGGCCCCAGGGCGAGGCAGAGCGCGGCAAGAAAAGTCGCCGTCACCACGGCCGCCGAAGGAGGATGATGATGATGATGAGGAGGAGGAGGAGGAGGAGGAGGAGGAAGAAGAGGAAGAGGAAGAGGAGGAGGAGGAGGAGAGAGGAGGATGAGGAGGTAGAGAGGGGAGGAGCAGCAGCTGCAGCAGAGGGTGCAGGAGCAGCAGGAGGGGGTGGAGGAAGAGTGGAAGGAGGAGGAGGAGGAGGAGGAGGAGGAGGAGCAGGGAAGAGGAGGGCACGCTAGGTGGAAACCCACGGGGCCTCGCTCTGGGGCGGCGTGCTGCTGTCGTAGAGGTGGACCTCGACCGTGTAGAGGCCGTCGCTCAGGGGAGCGTGCGCCGTGATGTTCTCCACGTTGGCCGCCGCCCCAGACCTGGGGCAAGCTGCTCCCCTCCTGCCCCCCCTGCCCTCCCCCCCCCCTTTTGGGACGCGCGTCGCACCCCAAATGGGGGAGGAAGGGCGGGAAGGGCAGGATGCGTGCCGCACCCCCTTCCTTCCTGCCCTGCCTCCCCCTTCCCTGCCTTCCTGCCCTTCCTCCCCCTTTCCCTGCCTTCCCGCCTTCCTGCCTTCCCTCCCCCATTCCTGCCTTCCTTCTCAGTCACAGGCAATCGGAAGGATTACCTCGGCAGGATGTCCACAGGTCGGTGGCCTAAAGTTCGTAGGTGAGCCGAGCTGGCCAGCAGGAAACAACAAGGCCCTGAGCCATTACAATCTGTAGCCCACACTGACGCTACACCCGAACTCCCCAATCCTATGCGCATCGCTGCCTCCCCCATTCCCAGCCCCCCTTGTCCTGCGGGGGAACGATGCGGGGAGTGGGGGCCCGTTCAGGGGCAGGCATCCAGCCTGAATATGTGGTACATCGCCGATAGATCAGCGATGGGCATCCGATGGCGAAGCCGGACGTTGGGTTGGGTGGGCCATCAAGCCTCTTTAGGCGATGAGTGGGCGATTGGCGGTCGATGCTTCCCCCCCGTGGGCCAGCACCCCCATGACGGTGCCCCTGACTCCCCCCTCCCAACCCACCCCACGCTTTCCCGAACCTCGCGTCCCAGTGGGCAGCGGCAGCAGCGACGCGAACGAGTTCAGCCCTCCAAGGGCAGCTGGCACGCCTCTTCATCGAAAACCCTCGCCACGATAGACTGAAGGTGTTTCCACATCCAGTTTGGACACCACGGTCGGCGGCGCGTGTCGCGGCGGCGGCCAATGTGAGACGCGATGCGTTGCAAACTGAAGGCGTGTCGCTCTGCTTCGTAGGACGTGAAGCTAGGCAAGCTCGGGGCGGTGATGCTTGCAGACTGGGACGTGCTTGGCGTGTCGCGCCTAAGCGTGGTGGGCCAAAACCAGCGACGCGACATGCTAAGCAAACCCCCATTGACCGAAAAATGAGGAGGCATCTGGAAGTCTGATATGATGATACGACGTGGTGTTGAGCGTATGGGTGTGGCACTGCAAATGCGATTTGTTCCCAAGGAGTCGCGCCAATAAAACATGCGGTCGTAGAGAAAGAACGCATACGCCAAGCGGATGGGGGCAAACAACCGGTTTTGGTGGATTACTGCTCGAAGCCTGAAGGGCAAGAGAGAGCGACACGAAGAGGAATATACGGGGGACGATTAAACCGTTTATCAGGAGGACATGACATATGGAGAAGACGGCACTCGGAGGAAGAAGGGGAACAAAAAGAGGAGCGTGCGCACCAAGAGCAAAAGGAGCAGAAAGGGTAATAGAGAGGAAGAGGGAGAGCAGCCACAGGAAGAGGAACGAACATAAACATAATACTACACCAGGGACGAGCAACACATGAGTAACAGCAATACCGCCTGACTGGAACATATCAAAACAAAATCAATACCATGTCAGACTATAATAAACATACTTACATATGAACAGAACAGGAGCCTGCAATGAACAGGAAAGAGGAGGGACAAACCAGAATACTAGAGACATTGATGTAAAGCCACATGTGACAGATCGGGTGATTCTGTAAGAGGAGTGGAGGCATAATGTTGAAAGCGCGTTTAAGGTGGGCACGGACTGCTGCAGTCTGTAAGTGGCAGAAGACATGCAATCAAGGATGGGGTGAGACAAGCAAAGCAAGAAGGCACTGGGTTCATGAGGTACCGTTCGGATATGGTGTTCAAGCCGGTCCGTCGTGCCCTCGTTGGCGTCACCTTGCTGCCGCGCTAGAACGGGCCACGCCTGCAATGAGCGCCCTGCTGGCCGCGCTCGTGAGGAGTATTGGTGGAGCACATGCGAAGACGACTGCTGCCGTTCAGCGGACGCAGCCAGCTGAACCAGCACTCACTCGAGCGCCCACCTTCCTCGCAGCTCTCGCCCGTCAGTACCCGCAGCACTTGACGATCTCGCGGCTGCTGGGCTGGTCGACCTGTATCCCGGTGAGCGGGGCTAAACTGATCAAGCACCGGGGCTACGTTGGTCGACCTTGTAGCACAATCACACGAATCGCCTCTTCACTGCTGGGTAAGAGCACTGTGCTGGGAGCTGGGAGTGGCCTTCTTCGTCTCGTCACTGAACTTGACCGCGTCGTGGTCATAACTGATCTGGCCGTCCATCGCGCTGAGGATGAATTCCTGGCACATGCTGCCCCGCGTCGCGGGGCCGACCCGCATATCGCGAGTGTCGCGCCTGCGCAGGTCCTCGAGTTGCTTGGTGCGCAGCTGGTCAACTAACCGCCACAGGTGGCCTGCCACGCCGTTCTCGGGGGGCGGCCGCGCCGGGCCCACGAGCAGGGCGCTGAAGACGGACGCGCCGTCGATGACGAGACGAGATCTGTAGGGATCGCCCATCGCCCTTCCCGCCGCGGCCCCCAGATCTCCTCGGCAGAGGCAAAGCCGCGCACCATCTCGCGAAACGCGAGGGGGCGCGCAACGCGAGGGGGCGCGCCTGCAGTCCGTCGGCTGCGCCGCAAGCTGCGAGCAGCAATGGGCCAAGCGAAGATCTGCGCGCCAGCTTGTGCGACCGGCACACAGGGCCTAACAAATGGCACACCTGGTTGCCGGCGCTGTGGCGCGTGCCGAGGGCATGTATGCGGCCCCTGTCATGCCGCGCCCTGTCTCTTCCTCCCTCTTGAGCGACCCGTCGCTGCGCGCGCTGGGTCGCCAGGCGCATTCCGCGGCTGGGCACGCGACGCGCGCCCGCATCTTCCGCGTGACCAGAACAACTGAGTTGAGCTGCGTCGCGCGTCGAATGAGCAGCTTGCCCCCGGCTCGTTGCAGGGCGTCGGTGCGCACGGCAACGCGGGGCCGGGCGCGCGGGGCGTAGGCGGCTGCTCCCAGGAGGGAGACGAAGAGGTCTGGAAGCTGACCTCCGGCCGGCTCGCCAGCCTTTGCCGCGGCCAAGTCGACGCGTCTGATCGGCATCAGAGGGTCGATGTGCTCGTTGCGATCGGGCCCCACGGCGCCGTCGGCGCCGCGGTGCTGGCGCGCTCCGCACTTGGTGAAATCATCGCAATCACCTTTGATTTTGCCGAAGACGCTCTCGACGCAGCCGGTCAACGGTTCGACGCGCCCGGGGCGACCCTCAAATCGTCGACGCGCATGGGCAGCATGAGCACTAGATCCGAGACGCCGGTGCCACAGGCGCCCGACGTCTCGCGCTTGACCTCGAGCCCAAGGCCCCGCGGCCTCGCTCTGGCGCCGCGCTCTGGCGAGCGCGCGGCCCCGGCGAGCTTCGTGGGGGAGGCTCGGGGTGCGCCCTTGCAGCCCGCGCCCAGTCTGGCGCGGCGCAAGCACTGAGTCTGCTCGTCGTAGTCCTCGCAGCTGGACGCCTGCCAGAAGACGGCTACACTGCCGGGCAGCAGGGTGAAGTTCATTTCGCGGGGCGCTTCACCTTGTCTCGAGCGCCCGCTCGACGTCTGCAGCAACGCGCACCCCTTCTGGGCGACGCGCCGCCACGAAGGACAGTGGGCGCTGTGACGCCCGCTTCGATGTTCCAGCGAACGCTCACAGGGCCCCGGCGCCCATAGGAAGCCCCTCAGCGCCATGCGACGCCGGATGATCCCGGCAGTCTTGCCGCCTGATCCCTGACAGTGCTTCCACTTGAAGACACGTCTGGGGCCCATCGCTTCTCGGGTGCCTTTCGGCGGTCGCCTGTCGAAATCATTGTACTTGACCCAGATGGTGAGCTCTCCAAGGATAGCTGCTGCGACCTTCTTTGACAACCTCGACACTTCCCCGCTTGACAGAAGACCGACGCCGCGCTTAATGACCGCGGCCTCGACGGCGGCATAAGCCTCATGCGCGGCTGTCCGGGGAGCGATAGCGACATCGTCGCCAGACGCTGCCTCGTTGAAGATCAAGAATGTCTCGCGCACCCCATCGACCCATGCACAACTCCACATGCCTGCCCCCTTCGAAGTCCTCCTCTAGCGTGGAGTAGCCACCCCAGGAGGCCCCGCGCAGGTAGTAGCATGTAGTAGTGGCACTGTGCGTGGGTGCTCTGACGCCGGTGCCGCGTCTCAAGGTGCTGGGGTCACTCGCGGGGCCTGCGGCAAAGGCCGGCTGCGGCGTGCTCGACAGCAGCGTAGATATTATGCCAGCTGTCGTCGCCCCCCAGCCTCTTGAGCTCCTGGATCAGATCTTCTGATTTTTCGACTTCGCGCCAGGCTGCCGACGTCAACTGTTGGATGCGGCTAGAGAAGTCGCTGTCGGTCTCCTCGGGCATAGCCGACAGGGCTCATGGCAGGCCACCCTCAGCGGTGCTGGCGGTGCCCTCGGGAAAGTCAATGACACAGTTATCGGACGACCCGTCGAGGTCATGCCCGGCGCCATCTGCCAGTATGACGGCTCTCCACTCAAGAGAACCCGCATGATGCGAGCTTCCTCCCAATGCTCGCCAATTGGCTGATGAGCGTCGAACTTGACGCCGCTGAAGTGGATCTGCCAGACGTCGACCCGGTTCCGAGGGGGCCGCCAAATACTGTCAAGCTGCAGGTGCAGCCCGGCAAGTTGCCCTCACATTTCTGGCCGCATATAATGCGTGCGGCGCGGGCGGCTGGCACTTGAAAGCATCTGCGGGACAGATGGCGCAAGGTTTCGAGGATGTCTGGGCGCTGCTGGGTCTGCTCGGTGATCTGCGCAACCTTCGCGTCCTCCCAATGGCCGAAGGTCCTGGCCCCGGAGCCTGGCTTGATGTGTTCCAGGTAGTCCTCCGCGTGGCCCTCCATTCTGGTGCCCGCGTCGTGGCAGACGGCGCCGATGAAAGCCCGGGCGTCTTGCAGTCTGCATGCCATCTCGGCTCGGCGCTACTTGACGCCACTTTGCCTCGAGCTGGTTCTCCAGAAATGACCGTCGCAGGGCCGGCCCAGCCCGACGCGCCCTTCGCGCCCGGGGGCCCGTGGGTCTCGACCGC